ATTTCTAGTTGCTTGGGCTTTTAGTGTGGATATGGCATCAGCATCAAATACAAATCTTTTTGTGACACACATCCCTTCCTTTAACCACGACCCACTCACAGCCATTGCTTCTTTAAGCCACAAGTCTTTTGCAGGGAAGAGGGAACGTGAACCAATTAAGTTTGGATACACCACTTCTTTAGATCCACAAGCCATGTTAGTCCATGCTTTTAAAAAGGTGTAGAGTGTAGCCGCATCAACAATCTTGTGTGAAATACAAAGGCCGATAGCAATCCCACCACATTCGAAAATGTTCACCTGCACACTTGTCACACGACCACCTATACCAGACGCCTCGAAACTAGGTCGAAACCGCAACAACCTGTCGGTCAAACTGAGATCGGGATGGCACAAAAACTCATTGAGCCGAAGACGGACCAACGCTAAGGCATAATAAGCACCAACATCATTACAATCGATAGAAAGATCGTCCTTGACTGTTCCAGCAAGTGGGTAAAATTGTGTCAGGATTTCAGATAGAGATCCCTTCAGAGCTAATGACTTTTCTTGCGCTTGGAGAATATTGTGGCCATTATGGATACGGTAGTAGAAGATGACTGGTACATAAGGGATAATATGAAGCTGGTCTAAAAGAGAAAGCTCGAATGTTTTCAAGTGGGGTGGTGTTGGAGAAGATGGTTTGACACACTCTTTGGAAATGACTTCAACTTCCATCGCATCAAACTGTGGTGCAAGTCAATGGATGGTTTTTGCAAAAGATTTGCCTCTCAAATGGCTCTTTTATACTTTGTATCAGAGAGAAAGTTGTTATGGTTGTAAATTAATGTTACAAAATCCACAAATTCATTATGGATCAAAATGGGTAAACTTCATTGTATTTTATATATTTTTCTCTATTTTTTTATTTTGAGTATATGGGTTTAGACGCTCAATTATGTGTAATTATTTTTCCATTCGATCTTACTAATACATCTGTTAGTCCCGAAGGGTAAGGCAATAAACAGAAAGTAATTGTAGAA